TGAGGCCTGGAGCAGGAGTAAGTGTAAGCAAGAGGAGTCCCCAGGCTAAGAAGGCTCTGCCCCTAAATGAAGTCTGCTGGAATACTGCTTGAGGGTCATTGAGGTCCCAGCTGTAGGATAGCTGGTGGCGTATTTCAAGTCTGGTCTTGTATTTTGGTCTGGAGAGCTCACTGAAGAGTACACAGTATAAGTTTTTGGGAGAGTGTCTAGCTGTCCTGTGATATTGTGAGTTTTGTTTCTCCTTCACTGATAAGTGCCTTATGGATATTGGAAGTAGGCAACCAACGATCCTGTGGCATTGTGAGTACTGGCTGAATTCAGAACCCCAGTAACTGTGTGCAATTCTCTGTTCTCCAAAAAGGCACTAGTCATTACTCAGCTCAGTGATGATTTCCTTGGGAGCTCTCTTATCTACGTCGTCTGCTTTGTGACACGGTGACTGATCAGTAGGAAGAGAAGTGTCCTCTAATAACTCACCTCATCCGAGTTCAATCTGCAAAAAAAGACATAAAAGAGTGAAGTGCTGAGCCATAGAGATATAAATGCTGTGTGCCTGGCTGTGTTTGCACTAAATTTAGCGAAGGAATTAGCGTATAATCAGCTGCTCCATAGTGGGTTCACTACACTTAGTAAAGGGGAAAGGAGCTCAGATGTCACTGTATGTGTCATGAATGTTGAAGATACATTTCTGCACAATGCCTCTAGTTACAGAGGTGAAAGTGTAAATACATTAACGTGCCTAGTTTGGACACAGGTTCATTTTAAACTTTGATTCTTAGTGCAAAGCATTGCCCACCAGTCCTCTGTCCAGTGAGACTGTGCCAGTGCTTAAAACATCTTTAGACAGGGGCATAGTGGTTGGGTTAAGGGCATCACTGGAACTGGCAAGCATCCCTGTTCATGAGTCTACCATATGCAAATCTTTTAACAGGCAGGGTGTCCACTTTAGAACACCATGGAGGTAGCCGCTACTCTCCAAAAAAAAAAAAATTGCTGCATGGCTAAAGTTTGCCAAAGAGCACCTTATGCTACTGGGAAAATGTGTTGTGGATTGATGAAGCAAAAGTTTAATTCTTCGGAAAGACTACTCAGCACTATGTATGGCGCAAAAAGGGCACAGCTTACCAACATCAAAACAGCATCCCTACAGTGAAGTATGGTGGAGGAAACATCATGATTTAGGCTTGCTTTGCCTTTAATGCCTGGATCACTTGCCATCATCGAGGGGAAAATTAATTCCTAAGTTTACTAAAATATCCTACAGGATAATGTCAGGGTGGCTGCCCACCAGCTGAAGCTTAGTAGAAGTTGAGTGATGCAGCAGGACAATTACCCTAAACATCAAAGTAAATCCACCATAGACCAACTTCATAAAAAGAACATACGCCTTTTGGAGTGGCCCAGTCAGAGCCCAAACCTTAACTCCATAGAGATTCTGTGGAGCTGTTTACACCAGACTTCCTACAAATGTGTCTGAGTTGAAGCAGTTTTGTAAAGAAGAATGGTCAAAAATTCCTCCTGAATGTTGTGCAGGTCTAATCCAGAGCTATAGAAAGCACTTGCTTGAAGTCATTGCAGCCAAAGGAGGTTTGACCAGCTATTAACATCAAGGATACACTTATCTTTTTCTCCAGCAATGTGAATGTTTAATGAGTGTGTTCAATACCACCCCTTCCTCGTACACAAACACACACACACACAGTGTTAGAGAGTTTTGTGGCATGTGTGTGCTCGGGCCCAGCAGAATGATTTTGACAAGGGGCTGTATGGTTCTGATGACGCATCACAGCTGTACGTTTTTGCTGGTTTTGGCTGTGAGGAGGGCTTAAAAAAATAAGCAAAACTGTAATCAAGGAGAGGTTACATTTTAAGTCTAAGAGACCCAGATTGTTCAGTTTTACTTCCCATGGGGTATGAGGCATGTACGCATGTTTTGTTTCCCAAGTGTATAACTTTGCTTTTATCAGCATTAAAACTAATTTGCTATATAGTTGCTCAATAAACCAGTGCACCCTTGCTGGCTTGTAAATTAGTCCCCTTTCACACTGATGGTCCAATTGGGTCCGCCTGTCAGTTTTTCAGGTGGGCCCAATTGAACCATCCATAGACCTCTATGGATCGGCAGGTGTCAGCTGACAAGTATCCGCTGACACCCGCTGGCATTCAATCTGATCCTGTATGTAAAACATAGATAGATGGGGATCCGTTCCCCATCCTTCTGGTGGATTGGATCGGATTCAGTTTTACATCACTACAAATATCTTCCCAGCTGTTTCATAGTCATCCCTAAAAACCTGACAAATTTCTAACTCTTCCCCATTTTTTGCTTTAAAGCAGAGTTCCACTCACACTGTAAAAAAATAAAAGTCAGCAACTACAAAAGCTGTAGCTGCTGACTTTTAAAAAACAGCCACTCACCTGCCGCACGATCCCATGGTGCCCCCGCCGCAGCCCGTTTTACCGGCTGTTCTGTATTCCAAAGGTGGCAATCCTTAATGGGGAGTGGGGGACCACTCTTTAAATTGGAACTTGCCCTTTTGGGTGGAACTCCGCTTTAAGATAAAAGTTAAGGAATTTTATGTTCATAAACATATTCATTATCATTCACAAACAATAAAAACATTGGTGAGAAAACTGACAGAAAATCATAGGAGAGAAAATGTTAAGCATTTTGCTTAAACATTCCAAATAAATAACAAAGTCACTGCAGAAAACAGCCATTCGTTTGAGAAATGGCAAAGATTCCTTTAAAAATGTATGATTTCACTAGCAACAGGGGTTTGAAAAAATATATATTACATCCATTTGTGCTTTTCTACAAGGTGCTTATATTATATGTTCTGTCTATTAATAACATGGCATTTTATTCTCTATAATCAAGATAGGAAATGCTTTTAGAAGCTAGACGTGTAATCGAAAAGATAGAGTTTAGTCAAGGTCTCCAGGAAACGTTCACGTAACACTGTTACATGTTAAACTTAAGTCATGTTGGTAAGTCGCAGAAAAACCTACACATCGGTTCATCCTAAATTCTGAATGAGCAGGGCAAAGGAAGAAAGGTCCTTTGGGGTACAAGATTGAACAGAGGCAAGGGGAAGTTGTAGGCTTAGGCTTAAAACAACAAGCCTGTGGGAAGTCAAAATGACAAACATGGACAGTGAATCGACTCCTACTACTTCAGGCTAGTAGTGCAGGCAACCACATTAAGGCTAGGCTCACACTTTTGCATCTGCATGTTTTTGTGATTTTTTTATGCATTTTGTATGGGGCTAAAATTGTACCTACAAGTGTGCAAGGAGCCATAATGAAATCCCTCATTGTAAACTGTCTTGTGACGGCCGAAGCATAACAAATTGCACAAGTGTGAACAAGGACTTAGGCACAGCAAGCTTGTTTGTCCCACTAGTAGGTAAAAATATTTTTTGATCTCTAGTTCCACACTGCACCAACAATTTGAACACTAGTAGTGATCAGTTTAAAGTCCAATCTTGGTAAAATATCAACCCCCTCCCACCCACTGGAAAAAACCCCCCCCAAAAACTCTCCTTTTACTTATCTAATTATCGTGTCATCTGTCCCTCGTCAATGCCTCTTCTGGGAGTCAGAACCAATGATCTGGTGCTTCATTTTATTTCTGTGTCGACCGGTCCCTCATCATTTGGGAATCAGCATGGGCATCTAAAGAAGGACCCTCCCACTCTGTACTAAGGAAAAGGGAAAACGTAGGATCCAGTACACCACAGTGCAAAACAAATGTATTCTGGGCTTTTGCCATAAGTTTTGACTGCAGCAGTTACTTAGAGAGGGGGCGGGGGGAATTGTATAGGAAGGGATGATTGGCTGGCTAACAGCTTTAATGATCATTTTGACCTTTAAGGCTGAAACACTCGTTTGTGCTGTTAAAATAATTCAAGCACTAATCTTCTCACTCACCTCATAAGCAAAAATTCCCCTTGAAAGTCAAAATTGTCCCGAGACAAAAAATGTACCCTCTTCCAGTACAAATCCCCCCACTGAGCTCAAATCTGCTCCCTCCTCAAATCTCCCCTTTTAGCAAAAATCCTCCTCTACCAGCACAAATCCCCTAAATTCCCCTTTACTAGCACTAATCCTCTCTCCAATTTCCCCTCCTAGCACAAATTCGCCCAATCATCCCTACTAGCACAAATTCTTCCCCCCAGATCCCTCTTCCTAACAAAAATCCACTCTGCTAATACAAATTCCCTTACAAATCACCCTTTCTAGCACAACCTTCCAAATCATCAACTGCGCCCAGGGCAGCCGTCCCTTCTGCCCACCCCTTGTCCTGGCCTTGGGTGGCAGATGTTCTGGTGAACTTGAAACTTCATGAATCTTCCTTTGGTCAAATAAAGGAATGAGGATCAGTAGTGTTTAGTGTGATTGTATGGGTGCTGGATTTTAGGACACATTGGGTGCACTGCATTCCTGCAACAAGCTTTTTAAGGACTATTTTGCCATTATTATTTGCAGATAATGTTATCTTTGATACGTTTTTCATCGTGATAAATCATGATAAGACAGTCAAGATATAGATATGAAATATGTCTTTGTGCTTTCATTAACTAAAAGCTGACCTATAACATAAACAATACTTCACAGGTATGCCATTCTACTATTATGCATTTTCTTAATGCATCTTACAGGAAGACGTTCTGTTTGTAACTTATGTTTTTTTGAATAGTAAAGACATGGAGCAGCAAAACCATGAATGAATATGTAACTCACCAGGGTGCACCCATGAGTTGTGCAATCCACAACACAGCTGTACATTGTTGCTGCCCACTTCTGTACATCAGATGCGATGCAGAAAGCTCTGAAAACTCAGGCATTAAATTAGGCTTGATAGCAAAATAAACACAGGAAACTACCAATCAAACCAGCATACAAATATGTTGAATGTGAAGTCAAAGGACAGGACTCTCCAATCAGCAATGAACACATGGTTTGCTATTTGTAGAGCTATTGGTTTGAGTTGCATACAGGGGTGGACTGACAACTCATGGGGCCCCCGGGCAATAGGGGATCATGGGGCCCCTGTGTCCTTGCCACACTCAAACTACACCCAAAAAAGCCTATGAAAGGTACCAGGGGCATCTCATGGGGCCCCCTACTGACCCCCGGGCAGTGCCCGAATACCCTAATGGTCAGTCTGCTCTTGGTTGCATATTGGTATAGAGTGCCAGACCTCTGCAAAAAGACTGCTGCTTTTACACAGAGAGCGAGGGTCCTTCTCTACAGCATGAGGGCAAGGGACAGACATTTCTACTCAGCCTGTGGCTCTTTACTGAAGAAATGGAACCAGGGGTGGACTGACAATTCATGGGGCCCCCGGGCAATAGGGGATCATGGGGCCCCTGTGTCCTTGCCCAAACTCAAAAAAGCTTATGAAAAAGGTACCAGGGGCATCTCATGGGGCCCCCTACTGACCCCGGGCCCTCGGGCACTGCCCGAGTTTCCAAATGGTCAGTCCACCCCTGAACGGAATCATATAGCATTGAACGCCCTTTGTTTTGATGTACCTAGAATGTACTGAGCTGATTTCTTTGGGGCAGGATCATATGTTCATTGGCCCCATAAAATCAATGGAAGCATCTTTAAAACATGAGCAATTCTTCCTCCTAGTAACCTGATTTCCACTGGACTTCTCAAAAATAGGAAAAAGAACTTACACCTGAAAATGCAGAAATAATGTGTAGAAACAAGCGCTTAAAATTGTGAGCCTAGTCTTAAATTAAAAGTTGATCTGGGCCTTTAAAATCTTTTCAGTTTGTATTCTCTTTTTCATCTATCTCTCAATGGGGAGATATCTTTTTACTTTCTGTTGTATAGATGCAGCAGAGAGTGAGAGAGAATCTCTCCAAAAGGAGGGAAATGCCCTTCTAAACAGTTGTTGCTGCGACATTTGCCCACAAATGGAAGATTTCTTTTAATTCCTTTCCTTGAAATTTGGGATTTTTCCTAATTTCCTGTCTTGATGACAATAGTTATCAGGACAAAACGAGAGTGTGAACCTCCCCAGCAAAAACACAGCTATAAAAAAAGGACAGGGCTTCTAATTCCTTTATTCCTTCTCTATCCCATCATATTCCAGGGCCCAATCTCACTACTCAGTCCAAAAAAATTTTTTTTATTTTAGATATACACAATAAATTGATCCAATATTCAAATGTTAACAAATGCTCTAAATTGCAGACATGGATAACGAATAGTGAGGCTTGAAATATATTTCTGGAAAAAATGCTACCCCCCCAGTATAGACACACATATTAAAGCTAGGTAAGATATATGACGCAGACAACTCGCCCACAATTGTCTTGACCTGCAAACTACATAATTCATATATTATTTGATATACACAGAAATTAACAGGAAAGATCAAAACATCAGGCAAAAATCCATTAAAAGCTTTCTTTATTAGCCTCCAGCAGATAAAACCAGCTTACAGAAAGCAGCAAAAACATTTCAACTCTACTTGGTCTTGGCCACCTGAATGTTTAGAGTGTTTCTGCCCACCTTTGTATGTTCCAGACTCTCCTGGTGCATTCTCCATAAAAGTACATTTTGTATTGTTTTTATTGTTAAAAGTATTTAAGATAAATGAGGAAAATGGTCACCAAAGTCACCAACATAGAATTTGTACAGTACTCTATATTCTCTCTAGGGCACATGTGTCAAACACAAGGCCCGCAGGTCAAACTGGCCCAGCCAGGCCATTTCACGTGGCCCTCTCACCTCTACTGCAGCTGCAGCACCCCCCTTGTTTCCACCCACACCTTTTCTCAGCAGTCAGGAAGACAGAACTCCTCCTACAGATCCTGAACCTCTCTGTGAAGCCACAACACCCCCTCATCTCTGCCTCCCCTGGTCTCAGTATTCAACAAACTCCAGCAGCTGCCTCCAGCCCAACTCTGGTCCTTCTCCAGACCCTGCACTTTCTGCTTCCCATCTCCACCCCCAGGTTCGTCCTGGCAGAAACACAATGTAAATGGGTGCACTGGGATGTAAGAGAGGGTAGGGGACATTTGACGTCTGATGGTGGGGGGCTCTTGACATCTGGTGTAAGAGGGGGGGTGGGGTGAGGTGGAGTGCTCTGGACATCTAGTGGCAACACAATACTGATGCGGCCTGCGATGAAAATGAGATTGACACCCCTGCTCTAGGGCATAAGATAACTAAAACTTTTGCATGTTATATTTTATACTAGATTCACGAATGGCTATTATCATCACCAAATTGCATACGCAGATCGCCATGACATCATATTATAATTTAAGCGATCGGCTTATGCAAGTTGATGACAATAATAATTAATTTGTGAATCTATTATAGAATATTACATGCAAATGTTGTAGTCACCCTATGTTCTAGAGGAAGCATACTTTATTAGTGCTATTGGTACTGGTTTTCAATAAATTAGGAATGTTCACTTACTTGGCAATAAAGTCCCAAGTACATTTTTCTCGGAGTGATTTTTTTTCTTTTTTGTTTTGCTAAGGATGAAAGAAAGATGGGCACTTGTCATTTTAAAATTAAATTTGAACACATTTATTGCACAAGTGCATGGAAAATAGGAAGGAGGATGAATGTAGCACAGGAAAGTGGTGGAGTAAGCACGGGATACACAAAGATTTTTCCTTCTAGAGGACAGTATACCTGAAAGCTGTACAGGAAGATTGTTGTACTGCAAAAGGAGAGGAATAGGGAGGGAGCACCAGGAGAGCGGCTGGTAAGAGCTGTGCCAGGCTACTGTATAGAGTGATCCTGAAGGAGATTGCTGAGGGAGCTGCAGGACAATTGCAGTGAGCTGTGAAGGGCAGAGAGCTATACAGAGTCAGAGGAACTTAGTTATGCTGCTCTACAGGTCTGCTGTGCTACAGAATGGCAGAAAATCACAAGGAGAGTAGAGAGACTGGCCTGTTGGGAGTGTCAGTGGAAGATAAATACAGGACAGAGCCACAAAAGTAGAGACCTGAGCTGCATAGCTGTATTTAGGACCTCCAAGGGTGAGAGCGTAGCTAAGCTGTGCTGCTACCGAACAGTCGAGGGTGTCCATGTGCGTGATCTCTTGCCTGGCCTTCTGTGGACTTGTTATATTGTAACTGAGTGCTCTAAAAGGTAAACCAGGGCCCCAACTCTGGCAAACTATATATGTAGAGCCACTTGCCAGTGGTATGGGTAGGGCCTTGTTGTATTAGAGAATCTCTGAGCTAACCTTGCAACTGTCCCATTGTTTGTTAGATTTTCCTTTGCAGGGCTTTGTTTCTTGCCCTAATAAAATCAGTTTGCCTCGCTACTGGTGTGTCAATGAGTTTAGGTTCAGCCATGGTAGGTCATCACTGGGCGAAAACAAAGAAACCCATCTATCAAGTTGCTCCGTCAGGGGTAGGGCTACACATAACTCCTCCTGAAAGCCATCCCACTGCTTGCATCAGGGCTAAAGGCTCTTGAGAGGGGTACTGAGAAATGGTCCTGTGATGTTTTCAGGAAGCTACATTCAGCACCCCGCTTACACTTCCCACCAGGCATTATCAGTCTGCTTTGCATAGAGAACCATATATATTTAGCATGGTGATGAGGGAGAAAGGGAAGAACCATAGAAGGTAAAATAGTAGATTAAACTTCAGCTTAGGGTTTTTCTTTCTAGAGCATGGTCTCTGGACTTATGCACGTATTTCTAAACTCACTGGGTCTTTGTCTCACATGCTGGCTGGACACTAAGCTTAGGACATGGCTCCTTGGCAACTGACGTTTAAATGGTAAACCTTTATGTACCATATCTACTACCCCACCATAACAACAATGCTTCTGTCGCAGAGTCTGCTTTAAAGAAAAAAAAGAGGAATAAAAACAGTGAGATTCACCAAGAAACACGCAAATGCTTTATGTACAAGAAAAAAGGCCATTTAAAAAGCAGATTGCAGAATTTGGAAAGCTTGAATGCAAAAACCAAACTAAACTACAAAAGTGTGAAGGAAGAAACTGATATTTCTTCACATAATGTTTTTCAGTCCAAAAGTTGCACCTCATCTTTGCAGGCATGATGTGTTGATTCAGGAGCTACGAGTCATATGCTAAAATGACAGAAATCTCTTTATTCGCCTTGACCAGAGTAAAACAGAAAAAAATCACCACAGCCAATATGCAAATAATGGAAGCAGAAGGAATAGGAGACGGTTTTCTTTACTGTCCTATTTCCCAGACTGTCACCAGTAAAAAATGTCCTGTATGTCCCTGCTCTTAAAACTAATCTTTTGTCAGTAAAGAAGCTCGCAAAACAAGGCAATGTAGAGACCTTCTAAGGTGACAGTTGTGTAGTCACAAAAGAAGATATTCTACTTGCAAAGGCTAAAATTACAGATGAACTGTATCAGCTGAACTGCAATGAGATGGGTAATACTGCCAAGGAGGAAAAACATTCAAACTGCATTAACACATGGCGCAAACAACTTGGGTACAGAAGTCCTGACATAATAAAGAAATTAACTGAGAATGACTATGCAAGTGGAATAAAAGTTAGTCCATGTGATCAAACAATGAACTTCAGCAGCTGTATACCAGTACAAATTACAAGAAAGGCCTTTCCAAAGCAGAGTAACAGCAGAGCTATAAAAAAACTGTCTGTACTTAATAAACTTCTTTTTCCTGCCACCTTATATCAGATATACTGCTACAGGGTGGCAGGGCTGTGCAAAATCACATATATATATATATATATATATACATGATTTTGCATTTCTGGGTAGGGGGCATGCACACTGCCCTACCCACGCCACCATTGAGGCCTCAGCTGTCAATCACCAGGTCCTGGCCGGAGATTCCCTGATAGCACCCAATGATCACCGAGTATCACTGACAGGGGAGAGGTCTATACGTAAACAATACAGATCTCTCCCCTGTCAGCTCTTGCACATTGCTTTGTATGGCTCTGCATAGCAGAATCATACAAAGCAATGTGCTGACACTTTGAAACACACACAGCACACAGTTAACACTTTGACGGCTCCCAATGTTAACCCCTTCCAGCCCAGTGTCATTATAACAGTGTGAGTGCTTTTTATTAGCACTGCTCACTGTAATAGTGTCACTGGGGATGTCAGTGACACCAAGTCAGTTCCCCTAGTGTCAGAATGCCCGCCGCAGTCCCACTATAAGTCGCTGATTACCGCCATTACTAGTGTAAAAAAAAATTCCAGTATGTATACTGCCATTTGTAAACAGTATAACTTTCACGTAAACCAATTAATTTACACGTATTGGGATTTGTTTTAGCAAAGACATGTAGCAGAATACATTTTGACCTAAACCTATGACTAAATTTGATTTTAAACTTTTTTGTTTTGGACATGTGTAATAGCAAAAAGTCAAAAATATAGTTGACCAATCACAGCAGATCACATGTCAATTGTATACAATGGATGGTTTCCTGTCATGCCATCCATTGCATACAATTATGTTGTTAGCTGCGAGTGGTCAAGGCAGTCACATGATACAGACAGGGCCAATCACAGCCCATCTGTATCATGTGATCAGCTTTACCCACGCAAAGCTAATCACAACAAAAGTCTGAATTAATCAGTTTCATTCAGTAACAATGATTGCGAATATCAA